CGCTGGGTCGAGGACGGCACAGCAAAGCTCGTGTGGTGAACGACGGAGGACGTGCCAAGACCACCTTATTCGTCTTTCGTGAATGGTCTGAGATATCTGCGCGGTACTGACTCAGTGAGTGCGGACCGTCTCATTTGAGAAGAATTCGGTATAGTTTACTCGAAGGAGGGTCCTCTGAGAGCGGTGGTCAAATACCTCCAGTCTTCGCTCATCTTCAACGCATAAAGCCCAACATTCACATGCATAGAGGAGGACTGACCGGGCGGATTTACAGTACACACAGATCTTCGTCGTGATGGGGATGTCAAGTCTAATCCACAGACGCATTCGGAAGATCAAGAAAATCCAGCGAACAACATCGATTCGGGAGACAGTGCTGTCCTTACTCGCAGCCTTGTCCCGAGGTATTAAAATCTCTCTACGTCTTCAAGTTGACGGCTATTAATCCCTAGGGTATACAACTCCCTAGGGGTACAACTCGAAAATAATTTGTCCTTTCCAGAATTTATGGACAAACCAACCGACGCACCGATCTGATGCGCTCGTTCCTCTGCAGACTGTAGATCACCAAAGCTTGAGGCTAACAGAGCGATGTCATCGGCGTAGTCGAAATCAGGCAGCCGGCGTCCAGATGCAAATTCAACACCATCCTCTTCACGCCGGGCCTTTCCAAGAACCCAATCAGGGACGTAGTTAAAATGAATGAGCGACGTGGCGCAGCCTTGTCAAACATCAGACCGCATATATAACGGTTTGGAGATACTGTTGTGGACTAGAACCCGCACGATGTTAGAGTGATAGTAGGTCTTAATCGTGGCAATGCAAATACGCGCAGCGACAAAGTTTTTAAGCAGGCGCGTCTGGAGTAGGGTCATTAAAAGTGCAGTGACCATCGATTTCAATGAAGTCCACCATGTGCTCAAGAGCAGAGACGGTAACTGGAGCGCGATTATAGTGAAATAGACGCGCAACTGTCTACCTCACTCAAACCCTCCACCACATTAAACCGGGGACAAAACCGAAGTCGAGATGACCGAGCAGACTTTGAGCGGAAGCCGCTTTCTCCAATGCAGTCTGAAACACCGCCTAAGCTTAGCCTTTAGTGACAGTAGACTTTGCGCGGGTACTACTGCACTGCCTACCCTCACTCACCTATAGTAGGTGTCTAGACAGACTCTTGGAAGCCAGAGCTGGTACTGCTACTACCACTACTGTTATTTCCTATACTACTAACTAGGATGTAGCTGAGTGACAGTATTTGCTGGTACTATTACTAACTGTATTGTTAGTCGAAAGTGACACTGATTAAAGTCAGCACTGGGCTCATATCCCCTCACTCTCAGCATGGAATGTAGTAGTACTTATGCTAGCACTGATGCTACCAATTGTCCGAGGCGACGCTGAGTTAGCCAACGCTAGGGTTCCTACAAGTGCGGTAGATGCCGCGTAAATCACTGGTGCTGCGTCCACTCCATGAGGCACAAGGCAGACTTCGTCATTGGAGACGGTTGCAAGGTCAGTGAGTGGCATCTGTTCGATGTCAAAAGGACTCATTTTTTATTCTATTCTAGGTAATCGTCATTAAAATGTTCCTTTTTTATCTTAAAGGAGAGTTAACATGCTCACAACCCAGCAAGGCTTCGTCTACGAACCGGTTCGTGTGGAAGGACCAGAAGGCGCTTCGGGCGTTTACTTTCGGCGAGTAGACTTGCCGCCCACTCCGACCCCTCGCTGGACCAGGCCACCTTCTAGAACCCTCAGCAACCCGTCAGAATACGAGAAAATCGACACGGACCCCGGGTCAATAGCAGACATGCCATCTGGCAAAAAACCGCAGGACCAGTCATCCCCAAGTACAACATCCACTGCCGTCACTTCTACTGTTCTTGATCGAGCAAAACTTCCCCTTCCTGAAAAACCCAAAGATGATCCAGTTTTGACATAATCTTTTTCGCTATGCTGTGGAAACTAATTCCGTTCTTTCTCTGGAAACACTCGGATTCACGAGGAAACGTGAGGTTACAACTCGGCGCTTGACGGCTACGTCTATCCGGGCGTTTAATATCGCCCTCCTTTTTACACCTGCATTTGTGAGGAGAGGTATCGTGCCGAGGGAACTATCTGATGCACACTAGACCTTTTCATGAAGTCAGATTAATAATTACTATTTTGCCAAGATTAATCTAGTTAAGGGATATCTTCTGAAAGTTTAAACCCTCATATCGGGATATAATTCCCAGACTTGAAATACATGGTCTACTTTCCTTATTTTCGCCTTCTCTGACAGGTTATTTTCCTCCCCACAAACATTACGATACACACATCGGATCTCGCGCCCAAGTAGGTGTTATTTATCCCTACTTTAAGAAAATAAATTACTAGGAAAGTTGCAGGGGCGCTTTCGTCGGTATGCATCAACCGTAAATATGACGTTACCTACGAAACTGTGATGATATAACGCTGCTGTCTGTCCATCATGCACGTCGCAAAACAAGATCGGTACATAGTGACATTTGCTTCCCGATCCTGTCTATGACTGGATATGAGAGTTCGAGTTCCCGGTGTTTTTAAGAGTAAAGAAGGAGACGGTTCGAGTGCTTGATCACTTTGTTTATTATCACTATGAGCTTTCAAATTCATACAGGAGTCCATTGTCAGAGATGCTAGACGCAAAAGAAAAGGGCTAGACTTACAAGCCAATAAATGACCACGAAGGGCTTTGTCTGCCGGCACCCGATCAATGCATCGATCAGTTAAGTTCCCACCTGATAAATGATTTAAGCCTGCGTCTCGGATGGGAAGTAAATCAATTGATGCATTGAGCTGGTGCGCTGCATAGTCAACTCCAAAACTTTGTCAATGATCGTCGATTGGCTTGATGATTCTAGCCTTTTTTCTGTTGCTTCTGCTATCTCTGACGGTGGACTCCTATGTGAGTTCGAACGCTCATAATGATAAGCGAAAGTTTCCGGTGTCCAACCAGTCTTTTTCTTTACTCACAGAATTGACCATCTCCTTCCTGCCTGAAGCTTCAGTGGAACTTCGTAAAACAACGATAAACCTGTACTCTGTAAGTCTTTGTAAAAAAAAACTAAGGACACAGATATGGCCCTTTCTGGTTTAACTTCGCCAAAAGAAGAACATATATTGTTATCGTGCTCTCGAGATAGGTAACTGTACATTCATTTCTTGTAAACATTAACATTTTATGCAGATAACATTACCTGCAAAGAAAGTAGGGACTGGAATGGCCATTTTTGGCCCATTAGTCGTCATCAGCCGTCATCTGCCAGTCAGGCTCAACCCCAGGTAGTGTCCTGCCCAAATTTCGGATCCGCGACCTTTTGATTAGAAGTCTGACGTTCTATCCATTCAGCCACGGACTCCTTGTCTTGTTAGTTTGGATCGGGAGATATTGACACTCGTTGATGAACGGTCGCCGATCGCTAACGGAACTCACTAGTCCCGCTCTGCCTTGGGGCTCATTCTCGAGCCCTGTCAGCAGCCGCATAGCGATTAATAGCCTAGACAGCCAAAATTGCCTTAAAGCCGTTGCTGCACGCCATTAGTCGTGGCTTCGTAAGTTATCAATGGTTGGATCAACGTAATTATTCTCCAAATTAAGTATCAATCTGCACTGGCTTCTTCTTACTGTGAAATCCATGTCGGCTCTAACTGATTTGAGCTCTCATTAAATTGGTATGTTACCGACAAACACAACGGACACCACTATGACCATTTCTGATTAAATTAATTGTATTTCGCGTGGCTTGGGGTTCCAAATCGTGTGTAGCAAAACTGATCCTGTTCATCTTCACTAACTGGGATTTTGTCTTGCGAGTGGCTATGGAAATAGTGACCGTAATATCCTAAACTTCAGTCACTTAATAAACCTCACTAGGCGTAGGCTTCTTCATCTTTTTAAATTATTATATTTTGTTACTTTAATGAATAAAGTAGTTATTTATTGTGGTATTTGTTAAGGCCTGTGCATGTATCACACTCCTACGGTTACCTCTGATGAAAGGGTCTCGACAGCATGCGAAACGTCAGGCAAACTAACTTCTTGTTCCAGCGATCACATCTTCTATTTTTGTGACATTTGTGGCAAATCTCACAGATTTAAGCTGTGAAATTTCACGTGTATCAGGATAAAAACTCGTATGTAACACGCATAGACAGGAGCCAAACCGATCAAGCCTGGCTTCAAGCACCTAGATCCTGCATTGCAAACGGATTTGGAATAAGCGACTGAGCTTGATGCTATGTAAATCCCCCTCAGCTTAATCCAAATCCAGGCACATTCTCAGAGTTGACCTCGGGCAGTGGCGCTCGTCGTCAGTAATTAGCGGATGCAAGCAACTGCTTCCTGTCTAAACTGAGATCTTCTTTTAAGGCAGTAGTATGCCTTATCTGTATACTTAATAAAAGCGATCTTGTAGCTCTTTGCGGTTCCTATTCCGTTTTTGATTGGCTGGCTTCAAGGGTCATATGTTTGTTCGCCGGTAGCATATTTCGCAAATGCGCCCA